TCCCCCTTGTCCTGTCGCAACAGGCCCTGCTAAAAAGTTTGCCGACATCTTTTTTATAAGCCCCCTTTAAGTACTGATAGGCTGCAAGAAGGTCTCCCCGAAGCCTTCTCTTCTCCAGGCTGAATAACCCCAACTCTCTCAGCCTTTCTTCATAGGAGAGGTGTTCCATCCCCCTGATCATTTTCGTGACCCTCCTCTGGACCCGCTCCAACAGGTCTGTGTCTTTCTTATGCTGAGGGCTCCAGAGCTGGACGCAGCACTCCAGGTGGGGTCTCACCAGAGCAGAGTAGAGGGGCAGAATCACCTCCCTCGACCTGCTGGCCACGCTTCTTTCGATGCAGCCCAGGATATGACTGGCCTTCTGGGCTGTGAGTGCACATTTCTGCTTAGTTTGTCAATTGCTGGACATACATACAGGGATCTGCCTTTTAATCATAGCTGGCTGGAAACAATCTCAATTTACAGACTTTCTTTCCTTTTAATGTGCCACTCAGTAAATAATAATAACAGCAACAGAAGTCTTGTCATATTAAGTTAAGAATACTAACACTTGGCTAAACTTTTTACAGGAAAAAAAAAGCAGAGACAGACTGGATCTGCAGAAGGGACTTCGGCATCATTACAATGAAAATTATTGCACCCAACTCTTCTGCCCATTAGAATCTGCAAAATCCAGTGTAAATACCAAAGTTGTCTATGCAATACCTGGGGGAATTTAGTTGAGAAGGATCCACAAAAGGCATCGTGTTGTCTGTGAGCAGTCTTGTTGGACAACTTTAAAGACCAAAGACAAAGGCACATGTTGTCTCTCTCAAGCGACTTAGGACGTGTCTATCCAGTGCAGTAAAGCACTGTAACGTAGAGATTCGTGAGCTGGTTACCACCAAATTCATTCCAGCAGTCACGGAGCAGTAAAATGGCATTGGAGCTATAGCACTGAGAAGCAAGGATAACTAATGTAGACCCAGGGCCCACATAAATGTGGTTTTGCTGCTTCCTAGATCTGGCCAGTATCTTTGCCTGATTGTGTATATGCACTGGTTCAGACAAAACCGCTTATTTCTTTATCTACGTTAACAAGTAAGTGCAGCCCTGTCGGAGCAAGCAAAACTTGCAAGTTTACTGTAGAGTAAAAAGAGTTGGAGTTGAGGGCCTGGTGTCCACACTGTGTGCATTCCTGAAGCCCATTTCTGGATTAATTTCACCCCAAGGGAAGCCAGGTCATGCATCCTGAGAGCACTTGGTGATGTGAACCAAAGTATGATAAGGAGGGAGATTTGCTCAAAAGCGTGCTCCCGATTTCAGTTGAAGTGCTGACGTAGGTGCCCATTCTGACACTGCATGCTGTAGACAAGCTGCGTACATCTTTTGTTTGTTTGGTTTTGGTTCTGGGAAGGGGTCTCTTTATTTGGGATTCACAGCCCTAAATCCTTTTACTGTTTACTATTCTTGGTCTTTCTTTTTTTCCTCCAAATACCATTTAGGGTTGAATAGAGTAAATAGAGCTGTAATATAAAGTAGTTAAATATTAATTAGAGCTGCTAATTGGTTGGAGATGTCTTCTCACATGGGTGGATATCTAACCACTTACTCTAGGGTCATATCCACTTCCCTGCTCTGTCTCTGGTGCAACAAATAAATTGATTGTTCCTTGTAAAGTGGCGCATGTTGACCAGGAGGGCATGCAAGCTCCTCTGTGCCACATTGACTAGCTGACGGGTTAGGTCATTATCTGGGGAGTTAGCAGGTCTGGATTCCAAGAGTCTTAAGGAGAACGGGAACAGCCAGGCCCCTGACAGGTCAGGACCAAGCTATTCTCAGGTATGTCCAGAGGCAAAACATACAGATCCTTGGGCACCTTCCACATGGAAGCAGGGGCTGTAGGCTTCACACACCTCACCTTCACGCACTGGGGTTGGACAGCAGCTGAGCAGAGGGTTTTAAGGATCTATATTTGATGCTTATGAGTCTGCCAATTTTCCTCAGACTATTTCTATACTAGTGAGCTAAACAGAGCGTGAGCTGAAGTGCTGTTTAATTTTTAACCCAGTTCTGGCAGAGTTCTGGCCTGCACAGTAGAATACTTAGGCATGCTGTGAGGGATTGCTCAGGTTGGGAGTTATTTCCAGTAGGTAGTATGGACAAGGCCATTCAGTTTCAGAAGCAAGGACAGTTTAGGTTTCAGTCAGCCTGGCTTGCACACCAACAGACACTGAGAAGAGGGGAGATAGACAAAGGAAAAAGAAAAAGGAAAAAAAAGACAATTTTCATGGTGGTTTTTCAGTAACATGCAATTCGTGTGGGATACTATGTTTGAGACTTCCAAACTTTTTTTGAATTTCCAAAAATTCTTCCAAGTTGCTTCTTTCATAGGTGACACTTAAAAGTGAATGCATTTTTAAAGAAGGATTTGAGGAGAATTTTTATGAGGTGCTCAGGAAGTGTGGGAGTGCTGTGTGATGACTTACAGAAGGGATGAGATGCTGTTGAAAGAGAAATTCTCACTGAGACCAGTTCACAAAGTGGACCTGTATTGGCTTTTACTCTGCTGGTACAGCAGATGTCATCATGGATGCATGCAGAGGTTAGAAAAATACTGGCATTTGCCAAACACAAAAGAATGATGCCTTTAGGAGGAGAAATACTCCATTTCCTTAGACATTTTCTCATGACCTCTGATAGAGACTGGGCCAAATTCATTGCTTATTTAACCGCAGTTCATTTAATTGATTCAAACAGGGTTACAATCAAGAATCCATGTGGTCCTTCATAAATTATTGTCATGAGGTACATTAATAAAACCAGGAAATGAGGATCTTGATATTCTGGTTGCCTGAAATAACGCTTTCAGTGTTACTAGGCTGGAAAATATTATGTTCAGTCAGTACCCAGTTTGGGTTGACAGAAGATGGTGAGTAATAAAGATAAACTCTGCTGGCTATGGAGCCAAACTCAAGTTCGAAAAAACATTTAAGAATGTGCTTTAATGCATTGCTGAATTAGGGTGGGTCTAATTATATAATTAAAATAAGCACACTGCTCTGTCCTTTCCTGAAGCTGAGCCTTGCCCGGGAACATTTTGCTGAATCTCAGTGTTTAATACAACTAAAAGTGAGTATCATCTGGAGTCTCAAAATAAAAGTGTAAACCTGGCAATACTAACAGATGCCAGTAGACCCTGATTCTAACCTACAAAGTGTGTGGTGATTCTTAAAAGTCAAACAGTTGACCTAGAATGTATACATCTTTTTAGAAACCCTTAAATATTTAAGCTGGAAAATGCTATGCCATAAAAGATGCTAAGAGACAGAATTATCAAATAAAGAGGGTCTTCCTGCATTATCACTTCTACTTAAAATCCTTGGTAATAAAAATTCATCAGCACACCAAAAGTGTTGTCAGGGTTTTCTCAATATGTATTTGTAGTGGAGGGGAAGGATCAAAAAGAGTATAACTTTTGTTTGCATACAGGGTAGTGCTGCATTAATGGCACTTAAGCTACCCCGGAGTGAGCTGCAGTGCGTGCTTAGCAGAGTGCAGTGCAGCGCAGTTACTAGCTGAGTTGCTGCAAACGGTTCAAGTATAGCGTGCTCTGCTCCAAGGCTGAGGTTTGACATGCCTAATTAGCAGCACTGCTCAAACCACTACTGCACTGCTTCTCTTTATAAATCTGGCTTGTTTAAAGCCAAGCCAGGTACCTCTACTGCCTTGCACAGTGCACCCATGCCCTGGCAGCTCCCTGAGTGCAGTTGAAATATCTTCCCTGAACGGGCTTTGAGGCAGGCCCCGAGATACTTATCTGACCTGTTGCATTGTTCTTACACATGAATACCGCAAACATTGCTGTTATGGTGTAATCTACATAGGAAAAATGAGCACTGCGATACGTTTGGTTTTGTTCTTTCCTCAGCCATCCGGTACGACGGAGTTACTGTGTTTGGCTACACAGTCTGGTCCCTCCTGGATGGCTTTGAATGGCACAGGGGATACAGCATTCGGCGTGGATTGTTTTATGTTGATTTTCAAAGCCACGACAAGAAGTTGATGCCCAAATCTTCTGTCTTGTTCTATCAAAAGCTGATAGAAAAAAATGGCTTCCCACCTTTGCCTGAAAACCAGCCCATAGAAGGGATTTTTCCGTGTGGCTTTGCTTGGGGAATTGTTGACAACTACATTCAGGTGAGTCTGATTATAAAGCTGACAGGCTGTCCAGCCAGATCAGTGAACAAGTTCATACTGATAAATTTGCTGGATAGAGCATCTTTGCTGATATATATTACCACAGTGCTGCAAGGAGATGGGTACAAGGCTTTTTTACCAAATACTGGGTCTTTCAGTCTTCGCTAGACTTTCTGCGTGTCACTAAGGAGATCCAGTCAGATTGAGATATGATAAATAACATTTTAGAAAAACATACGGAAATTGAAAGGGGTCTGATGCTCATCTTCCCTGGACGTGTTATGTGATCAGTTACTGGAAGTCAGTCCTTTTCAAATGGAAGTTGGTAAGATCTGCTAAAGTATAGTTCCAAATGTCCTAGTCTATGAAATGGGAAATATTACTGCTTTTTCATGTCCATAATTTTAATGGTAGTATATTTGTCTGCTGTGATAATCCATGTTTTAGAAAACTTCCTGAAAGCTCTTAAAATTCCAGTGGCATGTTCTACATGTTATGCATATATATCCTGGTACCATTGTTAGAGGGCTTTTGTGTAAAAAAAAAAAAGTAAACAATATTAGATTTAGATGAAATTTCTGTATTCCTTCTTTGTCATTTTGTGTAGTATTGTGTCTGATGGAGGCCTTCAGTGCCCCTGGATAGCACCTAGCTAGATTGTGGATCCAGTTCATAGCTCTCACTCTTTATTTCAACTAAATCTGATACTTTGGGAGAACCTTTCAAATTTTAAGACTTCATAGCATGTGCAAAAATTGTAGCTTAGTTATTGTCTCTGTAACAGTTTGGCTCTGTCATTCTCAGATGCTGTTTTGGCTTGCAGGGCTTCTCTAAAAATAGTAAAGAGGTGCAGTTAAATTCAATGCTGAGGCTTGATCCAAGAATAGAATTTTTAATTTAGATTTTCCACAAAGACAGGCTCTTTCTTAAGGCTAGAGTATAGGGGGCTTGTTTGTTTTTTGTCACTCCAAAAGTAAGATCTGACTTTGTTCTCTTGAAGAATACTGCAGCCTCCTTACCTGGTACACCGATTTCCAAGAAGATTCAACAGTCATTATCCTCCTAGCTCCCAGATAGATTAGGGATTGGAAATGGAATTGCTGCCTTTGGGATCGATAACAGCTATAAAGTTGTGGAGTCAGTCAGCCTAAGACAGTTAAAAAATCCCTCCCATCCCCAAAACCTTCAAAGCTGAATATTTTCATTTCAAAAGGCCATTCAAACATTTTGTGCTGTGAGGCTTAGGTAGTGTGATTTGTAGATGCATCACAGTGGAAAAACTCTTTTGACAACATTCCCACAGTATTAGTGGCAATGCATGCTTTAGTAATCTACAAGGGACAATTCTCCAGAAAAGCAATTTCCCTCAGACATGCTGGTTTTTATTACTTTCTTCTATAAGCACAGTACTGACCTCTCCGGAGAAAATAGCAACTGATTTTCAGCAGCTTCTTTATACAGTCTGTAGAGCCTCAGCTACAAGTTGAACACTGGTTGTAGGCTGACACCTGCTTTTCAAACAGAGGGCAGGACAAGGAAATCTGAACTCAGGGGAACCTTGCACCAAAAAAAAAAAAAAAAGGAAAAAAGGACAAATGAACACATGTGGTACCAGTATCTTGTAGTTTGGATCTTTCTTGTAAGAGTTCTGCTAGTGTATGAATGAGGAGATTTTACACTGTGCATTATTTTAAGTAATTCACTTTTCCATTGTCTAGTCCTTACTGTGTTTGTGATATTCATAAAAAGTGAAAGTATAATTCTGTGGGACCCTGAGAAGCTCATCTTCTACTGTGTCCAGTATGTCATACAGGCAATTCTGATATCTGAAGCCCTAAAGACTTACGGGAAATGCATTTATTGTTGGAGTGACTATAGCAGGTTTACTCGGAGGCCCGAAAAAAAATCGATTCAGACATCAACAACCTGCTGAAATAACTTGGAAATTAGTTCAGTGTAAGTTAAATAAAAAAGGACATCTTTAGCAAGAAGGAAAAATTTTGCTTGTCAACTGAATTTGTGCTAAAAATCAAGTGCAGAGCATTACTCATCTTTCACCATAGTCAGGAAAAGAACTGAACACAGAAATGATGTTGCATTCATTATTTCTTTTACTGTGTTCAGGGAGTGGTCTGGAAACTGAAGCTACTGGGTGATTTACAACAGACAGTCTCTCTGTAGGCCCTTCGGTATAGCTTCTTCGTCTTGAAAGAAAAACATTTTAAAAATTACTGTAGTCTTTGCTGAAGATCTGCTTCTCTGGAGATCTGTCGCAGGTTTAGAATCATAGAATCATAGAATCATTGAGGTTGGAAAAGACCTCTAAGATCATCAAGTCCAACTGTCGACCCAACCCCACCATGCCCACTAAACCATGTCCCTAAGTGCCTCATCTACACATCTTTTAAATACCTCCAGGGATGGGGACTCAACCACTTCCCTGGGCAGCCTCTTCCAATGT